GGGGGGGGGGGGGGGGGGGGGGGGGTTACTTTGTTGGTTGACAGAAAGTCGCGGACTCGCGGAAATCGCGATCTCACGAAACTCAACGCGCCGCGCGTGCGCGGTGTCAATATTAGTATTAAAAGTGTCGCCTAAACTGTGCGATAACAGCGCAATTAATATGTCAATAAAAGATGCGCAATTGCGCAAGTTATTGACAAAGTAAAAGTAGTTGTAAGTTATAACTTTTTTAGTGGGAACGCAATTGCAGATTAGTGGATCCCTCTTGGCACATCCACCTACTGTTGACCGACAGGGTACACCCCCCCTCTCCTCTGCCTGCTCTGCCCTCTCCTGCCTCTGACAGGTCACGCTAAGCCTCTGTCACTAGAATTCAGCCTATAAACACAAGGAGACACCTTACGGATAACAATCGAATCAATTGTCACTTCTCAAGGCACATAGACAAAGGCACATAGCCCACAAAACACCTTTAACCAAGAGGTCAGGATCACGCTTTGGTTTGTGACAACAGAAGTGAGCTATAGTCCAGGCAGTGAAAGCTTGGCAGATATTGGTTGCCTGCCAAGCCATAATACAAGGCGACTGCTAATCTGTTTTGCCAGCAGGAGAAGGTCACGTGATTTTCCCGCTGGTGTTTTAGGTTGCCGCTACGGCGCCCAGGGGCCGCGGGGGGGGCCTTACCCTATTGGGCGACAAAATTGTGTCAGCTTGTCGGTTGACAGAGTAATGCCCCCTCCCTCTCTTGTCTACGCGCCTATACCACGGCACACAGTCAACCTGTTCTCTTGATAGCAGGGCTGTGGTGCGGCACTGAGAATATATTTACAGATGAACCGGGTATGGTTTCTTGTGTCGTGGTAAGCTCGTCTACTCCTACAGTTGTCTAGCCATTTCTTCCTTGATCCACTCTTCCTATACGAGCTTATCCCATTGAAGGTAGTTTGGCAGTGCAGATAGTTAACCAGCTCACCAATCCTTCCGCGCCCATTCCTATACCTCAGGCTCAAGCAACTCCAAGTTATTAATGGCCGTGGTCAAGATCGAATACCACATCTGATCACCCCCCTTAGTGGTTTGTAGCAATACACCTCCTGCTGGATACAGTAAGATCCAGTGATGGGTAAAGAGTGTTCGCCAAAACCGCCGTTGAAATCGCCGCTCGATGTTAGAGCGGGCGCCATACGCCGCCACTAGTGCCGTGGATGCACGTTAATACAGCTTACGAAACAGTTGATCTGCCCAGTGATCTCGTCTCTAGTGATCACTGCCGCCAAAGTCAAACAAGTAGTGTCCCAAGTGCCTCGGCACCTTGAAGTCACAACGGTTGCTGGACGACAAGTACATGTCACGCGCCATAATCTCAACAAAGTACTTGTAGCTGAATGGCTGCTGCCCAAGCAACGCCTCCTACTGCATCTCAACCTTGATCTCAGATCGCATACTCGCCATAATGTCCATACGAAACTGCTGAAGACAGATATGCATGATCTAGTACACCAGGCGGTTACTGATGGCCCGGTGGGTGTGGTACTGGTGCAGCCACTTGAGTGCGAGGTCTAGCTGCTGTATGAGATAAAAGAAGTCCTACACCTGCCCACCGCGACATAAATACCGTCTACACAGCATGTTGTTGCTGAAGAGTATGCGGTCTATGACGTGGGATAAGAAGGCTACCTATGTCCAGTCAAAGCGTGGTTCCAGCCAACAGTACCTGTAGCGCAGCAACATGTTGCTGAAGCTGAGACCATACCAGACCTGGAGATTACCCTAAACCGGGCGCTCCCGTCAACTCCACCAGAGTGCCGACTCTCGCTTAATGCTATAGCCACCCAGAATAAAACGTAAGCACCGCAAAAACATCGCCATCATCTTTGTTTGCTCCTATATTACGAGCTCACTCTGTACCCGTGCTTGTACCACCTTAAACCCCGTGGCGAATTTATCCGCACTCCGCCAAATAAAGTCCAGAAAGACAGGTGTCTAGATGGCCCATGTGGATGACGGACAGTCGTTGAGCGTGGGAGCCAGCTCCTCCGCGGGCACACGAGTGAGTCGCGCTTGAAGCTGTGTAAACAACCGCCACGAGATGCGATACTCTTTATGGATGCTAAACAACTTGTGTTGTGAGTCCTGAATAGCTTGGTGTGCCCGCCGCTTACTTGCCTCATAGCTACGCTTGATAATGTGCGCATCCCGGGTACTGCCGCCCTGGACATGTCGGGCAGCCTGCTGGATCAGAGGGTCTAGTGCCATCTCCTCCAAGCCATCATTATTAAACGGCATAGTCTTCACCACGTCCCACACTTCCTTGACTGATGCATACAGCTGAAAATAGTGAATACCACCCTTGTACAAGAGCGAACGCTTTGGTGGCACACTGGTTAATAAGCCCACTTCACCCAGCATGTTCTAGGTGTAGTAGTACTGCCCGCGACCACCCTTCTTTAGCGGCTGACTGTCGTAGATCTGACTGGCGTGTTGCTCCTGACAGCATTGTTTCCAGAGATACGTCTGTAGTTGTTCATTAAATGCGAGTGCCTGCTGGGCCAGCACACTGACTGGTGGGCACACCTCCCTGGCGATGTCAGTAAAGAAACGATCCTTGTCCACGTGCTCCATGTTGATAATATCGGCAAGATAGATCTGGAACTCCTCTATTACATCCAGTAGTGTTGGACAGTGTGGGGTTGACTTGAAGCGCAGTTTCGTGCCCTTAGTGCCGAAGAAGAGCTGTGGTTCGTGAAAGTCCTGGAGTCCAGCGCTATGCAGACTGGTGGCCAGCATATCAGCCTAGATCGGCCCGAGATGGTGTGGCTGTAGGTGGTAGCCTAGCGCTTACTGTGCCTAGTAGCTGCTTGTCTCAACCATTCGCCCTTCCACCTGTCGCGCCTTCGAGTTAGCAAAGGCCTGCCTAAAACTCGCGGGTAGATGCTAGCTGTAGTGCGCCGCACAGTGCATGTAGACCGCGGGATGGAAGATCTCATTAAACCAGCGTGTGAACTGCTCTTTCGTTAATGCCTGAAACTTATCCCCATGTGATTCAAGATGCGGAAATAAGATGTGCACCGTGATGTTGTGTGCCCCTTCCACGCGACCCAGCAGAAAATGTGGCATGTCACGCAGCATCACCGCTGTCACGCGCATGGTCGGGCGATCGCCTTCCTCCTGCCCCACCCCACCGGCCATATCCTCTTGGAATACAGTTGTGTCAATGTGCACATTGTTGCTCATATTCTGATGTATCTGTAGCGCCGGCTGATACCACAAGCCTTTATGTGCAAAGGCCAACAAATCAGTGAATCCCAAGAAGCTGTCCATATCAAATGCTACCTGGGGTGCTACAGCCTGTGTCTCTTCTTGATGCAAACACACCTGCAACAGCCTTCTGTTTTGTGATTCAGGGGTAATACCACAGTATATGGCGCGCTATTGCACGGGTGTGGGGGCCGGCAAACACGCGAGACGGTCAGTGGTAAGCATCGTTGGGAGTCCAAGCACTGACAGGAAGTGACGGTTATTAAACACATCACTCAAGCTATAATGATTGTTGCCGTGTGCATAGATATATTGCTGGAGCCGCTCTTGGTGCTCCTCAGTGGTACAGCCTTGAATCCTGTTGATGAACACACCCATCAGTTTCTCCGCTACACGTGATACCTCATCCTCATCCTCTGTATTTTCAATAGTGACCCTATCCTTAGCACCACCAGAGTGGTGGGAAACAAAGTCGTAAAAGTCGGACTCTTCCTCACTCTCTACACCACCTAGTAGAGACAGCCCTAAGACAGGTGAATTGTCTAACGCGGTGTTAGTAGGTTTCACACTATTATTGGGGTAGCCTGGATCAAGATCATCGCCCATTATCTCAATCTCCTCAGTAGTGTCGTTATTATCAGCTTCTTCATTACTACTACCATACATCTGGTCTTCAGACCCTCCTGCTGGTAGCAGGTGGGGAGGTGGTAGAGGGAGTTTTCCTAGGCTAACTAATGGACGAGACTGCGGAGTTAGGAAGGTGCCATGCTGAAGATCTACTGATGGCCTCAGAATCGGATTGCCAGCTAGTAGACTGTGAAAGAAATGAGTGATACCATGAGCTGGCACGGTTTGCTGAACAGCCTGTGGAGTGGTGATAACTGCTGGAGTATAAAGGGAAGTGTGACTAATATTTGGAGGTGTATACAGCTGGCTATGCTCCTGTACCAGTATAGCCTCTTGTTGGTCGCGAATATGATTGGCATCTTGGGGAAGTGTGAGACCCTGCACCTGAAGTCCTAGTTGTGGTAGTGTCTGGGGAGGTTCAGGAACCCCACTGGCACATGTGATTCTCTCATTGTATTGTAATTGCTCAAGTTGGGCTTGATGGCGTCGCTCATAGTAGCGGTGTGAGTGGTGAGCGGCTAGCTCTCGGCGGTAAATTATAGCGGCTTCCTCTGTTGCAGAAGATTCACCATGACTATGTTTTGATGCTATCCTATCTATGGGCCCAAGAATCTAGTAAAGGATCATTGGAATTTTTGGAACTGTTATATATATAATTGGAAATGGTGTAAGGCTGTTGCTATATACTGTAAGACCCTTGGACTGTCAGGTGAAGGATTACCCTAGGGCAGCAGCGTCACGCTCTTGGCAGTCTAACCCCAGCACCGTCACGCTCTTGGCAGTCTAACCCCAGCACCGTCACGCTCTTAGCAGAACCCTTGCTGTCGCCCCAGATCGGCTAACTTTAACGCTGACCCTAGCGACAACCACATATACCACACCTTCGACAAGAGTATCATTGGAAAGCCCGAGTCGGGCTCCGCCCTTTCGGGCTGGTCTCGCGTCGCTTACGCGCCGTTCAACCTCTATTGAATCTCTAATCCGTAAGCCTAGTCTCTCCTGTATACGTGCGCCGCGCCTCCGCGCCTCCAAGGTGACCAACCCTGTCCCGTCTCCGTATCTCCGTTTAGCCCTAATGACTCTTGCACTGCTCACCGGTCAGACACTCCTGGGGCAAGATTGCCCGACCCCCCCGCTAACCCTCAGCCCTGGCCCTAGTTCGGACCCTACTCCGGGTTCACGGGCTGACTTGGCAAATTCCGGCAACCATCGACAGCCTCGTCACCACAGCCTTATTGTTGCAGCCTTGTAACTGTAGCCTTGTTACGACAGCCTTGTTCCTACAGCCTTGTACTACAGCCTGGTCATCAGAGCCTTATTAACACAGCCTTGTGACTGCAGCCCGGTCGTCGCAGGCCGGGTAGTCCTTGTGGTGTGGGGGAAGAAGTCACAATAGGCGCGGAACCCCGCCCTAAGCCGGCTGACCAGAGGGAGGTAAGCTGTAGCCAGGAGCTGGTCGTAAGAGGCGTTCTGCGCAAGCCAGGCGGTTATAGGTCAGGAAGACAGTACACAAAGATCAACGGGGACACTGTGTTTATATTTGCTAGGACCTCAAGTCCAGCCAGGACAACCCCAACCAGAAGTTCCCTGCCAACCCTCGGGCGGGGGAAGGGCAAGAAGAAGGGACCGGGGGGTGCTTCCGCGACAGCTGTCGCTATAGGGCCCCTCCACCGATCACATCCACCGGCACAGGTAGAAGAGCAAAAAGAGCAAAAGGAAACAAGCAAAGGGCAGAGGGAACAGAGTAGAGGGAGGGGCGTAAAGGGCAAAGGGAAAAGGCACAGAGAGAAGAGCAATACACAGTGTCAGGAACACAGGAAGCAGACACAAGGTGTGTGAGGACAAGTATTGTCATCATGGGATCTCCAAAGGAGATACTATCTAAGCCGCTACCTGAGACAATCATATCCTGCTGGCACTTCTGGCATATCTTTTGGCCCACATTCTATTGAGATATGCGCATATACCAAAGTCCAAATAAATGAGACAGGAGGGCTCAATCCACAACAGCTGTCGCGGAATCACCCCCTGTCAGTCACCATATTCTCCATAGTCTAAACCAACATGTTCTCCTGGCACCTGCAACACAACAATAGACACCCACTAAGCACCCTCTCCCTCGCCACTGGCAGCCGCCTAGTCATCCTTAGAGGCAACACAACAAGCGCGACTCACTAGAGCGGAGGTCATCTTAGCCTTGCTATTGCTACCCTTCTTGCCACTCTTGCTGCCCTTGCCGCCCTTGCTACCCTTGCCGCCCTTGCCACCCTTGCCACCCTTGCTGCCCTTGCCATCGTTGCCATTGTTGCCATCATTACCATCCTTGCCATCCTTACCATCCTTGCCATCCTGGTCATCCTAAGCGGGAGTCAACAGGGCTGTGCCACCCGGGGTCACAGCAGTGGACAAACCACTAAAGGTCAGCTCAGGGGGGGGAGGAGTTGTCCCCAATTCACTAAGCAGGCTGTCAGGACAGTTACCAACACTGGCCTGGCAGCTGGCCTCTGAAGTCAGATTCAGCGGAAGTAACTTGAGAAAAGTGTTGACCTCTTTAATAGAGGTAAAGTCAGTACTATATTCCTTATTAACAGCCGCAATTGCCTCCTCATAATCGTTATCCTCAAGCGACACAGCAGTGGGCATACAGCGTTCAGCGGAGCGGCGGGGCACATAGCCTGCACCAGGCAAGCCAAAGATATTCTAGCGCTGCAGCAATAGTCCCAAAGTGGCGGCAGGAGGGTCGCAACCATAGGCGTTAGACTACACACCAGAGAGAACAGTAGAGGAGGGGGTTGGTCCGCAACAGGCGTCGCGGGAAGCACCCCCCACCGTCAAGGCCGGGCCTTTGTGTACCAACAGGCTCAGGGGATCGGGGAGCACAGCCTCTGCAGGAGGACTGAATACGCGAACCTTGGCGGGAGTCATAATATCAAGCGGGTCAGAGTCCTTAGACCGCTTACTGGTGGGGTTATAGCTGCGCTAAGGATTGCGCTCCAAGGCAATCAGCACGCAACAAAAGCTAATAAGCATCTTGATCAAGGCAGCGACCTGGGCGTCAAGGTAAACCTCTTCCCGGGCCTTGATCACATTCTTGAATCAGCGCTCCAATATGGTGCTAGGGGACTGAACCTTATCCAGCTCTCAACACAAAGCCTCCTGCTCACCTTCTCGCCACTAGTACTTGCTAATCTTGGCTTAACCCAGCAGCTCACCCTTGAACTTCTTGCAGATCTTGTGCTAGAGAAACAAGTCATAGGAGCCCTCAAGGCTGAGAATCCATATGTACTGAATCTCTATCTGCCCGAGACAGTGGATACAGCTAATACACTAAAGCAAGGTATTAATATTATTAAGCACACTCAGCATACAGATATAAGCACAGGCCTTGTACATATTAACACTAACACTGCTAACACAGAAGGTAGAGATACAGATACAAGCCAGATCCTCAAGATTATTAAAGCGGCTGATAACACCTTTCTTAACACTAGCCGCCTGACCAGAGTTGAGTTTGAGATAGTTAAGGCCTATAATACGCAGAAACAGCGACACAAACCAGATCTCAGTGGGATAGTTTGCAAAGATCAGGATCTTCTTCACTAGCTTGGGGTCCTTGATATTATTATAGCGAGCATTGTACAAGAGCTGGCAGATATACCACAGCTTAGGCAACATACCCACAAGGAATATAGCCATTTCACACCGGGTCACGTAGGGGGGCTATCCGCTGTCAGGACAATTCATATTAAAGTAGGCGGTAGCACCACCATCATTGTACTCGCTGGCCCAGGCATGGACATCAGCTGAGGTCGCACCTTAAGCCGTGATAACACAAAAGAGGCGGATATCAGTAGAGATAGTTAACAGGATATAGTGAATACCACTGTGACACATAGTGTTTG